CGAAATTGGACATTGCAAAGAAATTATATACATGCAAATAGTTTACTGAATAAAATAAAGATTAACGAAAAATATAGAAATCAAATTTTCAATTTGTTACAAGATGAACGGACTTTGAAACATCAAATGTTGATGATGAGATGTTAGGGATTGAGAATGAAAATAATTGGCTTTAAAAAACTGTAACTCTATGCTTATACCAATCATGTCATGTTATCGGCTTCGAGCCGAGCCATCTAAGCTGGCTTGATGACTTGGTTTGGCTTTTTTGAGCCGAGCCGAGCCAAGTGAGCTATTCCCATACCTAACCACTACTAACGCTAACACCATAATAAAACAAAATATTGATTTATTGTATTCTTCAAGCATTTTAAGTCACATAATATGTTTTAATGCAACAAATGTTGCTCCGTTCTTATTCAAATTTATTAATTAACCATTGGAAAATAACAATAAGAAATAAATTATTTTGTTATGGAAGAGACGGAAGGGATAGAAAAATATTTTGCAATTAGCCCGGAAGGAGACTTTGTTATTGAATTTGAAGTAGAAGGTAAATAACTTTAATTAAATGACTTTATATTATTAATAAACTTTTAAAATTCTTAGAATTCAAATTACAAGCGTATACTATTGAATCGGATAATGATTCAAGTATAGATGATGCCCAAAAATTATCACGCAAGAAGCTTTCTCCTATTCCTACCGCATTTGAATCTACTGATAAATCATCACTATATTCATTTAGGGATAAAAAAAAAGGCTATCTGGTCTATTTATGTATCAGAAAAATCAACCGGCTCATTGGAATTTGGTGCTGTATCAGACAAATCAACTAGCTCATCGGAATTTAGATTATTGGTATTACCTTGTATAGGCCATAGGAACATGGTGCATTATAAGGACAATTCTAGCACTGTAGATCCGGAGGAAATTCCTAAGAATGGACATACCTCATTATTAATTATTAACAATGTTAACAATAATTATTTAGTTAGTTTTATTGATGGTAAAGAGCTACCGATTGAATATGGTGGAATAGTCAAGTTATTTTCTAAAAAAGACCATATAACTAATCAAAAGGCTGAAAAAGATAAGAAAACAATATAAGAAAGTAGTCGAAATGCTGATGGACATTTTCTTATTCTCTTAACACTTTCAGGGATCTACAAGTACTATATAGATAAGAAAAAAATCTATCAGTAACATACAAAAATTAAAATATCCAAGAAGAATATACAAGGCTATAATTAATAATATGAATAATATGTTTGACATAACAAATGTTATAATTAATATGTCTGGTGCTACTAAGGAATTGTTTGGTGATATTAATATATTAGTGAAAATTTTCAAATAGTGCATACGGCTATATCAAGGATTGCTTAAAGAAGCATTATTTTTTAGTTGATACTTATAAAGAAGGCATCAGATACATGGAACTTTATGACTTAAGGACAAATCATTTAGTAAATATTTTTCAGAGACAGATTTTAGATAAATCGATCTCGTTCGAATACCCTGCAATATCATACGCAATATCAAACAATGGCAAATTATTAGCATATGTATCTGCCACAATTTCCTCCATTAAAGGGATCATAATATATTCGATTGAATGCAGTCTTAAAATAGCAGAACTTGCAGATCTAAATATCCTAGTTACTTCAATATTTATTCAATGTTTCACAATGACGAGATGTTACTTATATATCTTTCAAAAAATCAATGGGCAGTATGGAATATTTTCGGCTCATTACGAGATCCTGTTAAATTAGAGAATCAGGGATTTACAATGGAACTTCCAAGGTTATCACTTAACCCTTATGGTTCTTACAAAATAGAACTATCAAATTCATTCATAGTCGTTGATAAGGGTAACATGATGATTTGATCATAGATAAGTATTTATATTTGAACCATTTAAAGGAAAATGGTGGACAAGGTTGGAAGCAACTATCAAGTGAAGAATCAGAATTAGTTAATTATTATCATATGCTTGAACCCTGGTAAAATTTCTTGGATGTTCTGAACGCCCACGATATTCGTACTTTTCTGATGAGAAAAAAAAAATGCTTTTAATTGGAAGCCATTCAATTCAAGTTTGGTATGATCAAGGTTCTAAAAGATCTCTTGAATTTATTTATGTGCCTTTATCTCATTCGCGCTCCTTTCACGCGCACGATATTTTGCTGAATGATGTAAACAAATGGGAATCTAAAATAATAGAAGTAATAGACATTAAATCTTGCTTCGGAAAATTCAAGCTTAGAATTCAAATTAAAGGTGAAAAAGAATATGAAATTAAAATGGAAGATGAATATGATACTATGAATGTAGCAATATATGCTTGTTACACTCTTAAATATTTTTCTGCTTTTCAAAAGTTTGAACAGTTCCTTGATAAGGATCAAAAATCAAAATTCGATATTATCATTGAACAAACACGAAAAATAATACTGAGATTTATCCGATTGGGGTGGTGCTCATTTCACCGACAATCACTTCACCGACATCTAGTTCGCCGACAATTAATTCACCGACAAGTTTATTTCACCGACAATTAATTCACCGACAGCTCATTTCACAGACAAAGTAATTCTGGTCATTGACGTTAAGGTCAGGCTAGAATTAGAGTTAAGGTAAGTGTAATTTATAAAAAATTTTTCGGTGAAATGAACTTGTCGGTGAATTAATTGTGGTGAAATGAACTTGTCGGTAAACTAATTGTCGGTGAACTAAGATGTCGGTGAAGTGATTGTCGGTGAAATGATACGTATCCATTAGATTGTATCCAACTACTTGGCGATTGTTAGATATTCGTTACGATTTGAAGAATATTCTTATTGAAACAAAGGATTATGAACTTGTAAATGACATTTTATCCTTTGGAGAATCGATTCATATACCTCAATATTTTTCTTGGTCAGGCGAAAAAAATACTATTCGTACTGCATTTTTGGGTTCGTATACTTAAAATTGCGTTAACTACATGTAGGTGTACTATATATGCTAAAGATTAACATTTTACTTGCTAAAGATCATACTATGTTAGCACTTTTTTTGGAATACTATTCAAATAATGCAGCTGAAATATTGGATGGATGAATACAGTTGTTGACATCATACCAGAATTATATAAGAGTGATGAAAAAAAGAATGAAGAAAAAGATGATGATATTTATGAGAATGAAACGGATTCTAAGCTTGGTTCGCTATAAGTTTTATCATATTAACACATTGATATGAACCTTTTATAATATTAATCTTTATGCAAATAGAATCTTACGCGTATTATTCTCAAAAATTATTTTATAATCCCTGCTTTTGCAACAAATCACTGGATTTATTATCATTCGAATTTCTTGAAATTTCACCAAAGTCAGGTGATTTATTAAAAGTTTTTATACCTATAACACAATTGATTCCACAGGATTCCGAGTTAGATCTACAAGAAATCGAGTATGAAAATAATAATTTACATTAAAGTCTACTTCAATTTAAATTTGCTACAGTTATGATAAAATTGTTGATATTCGAATGGTACCTTTAACAGATTTCACAACAACAAAAAGGTTATTGGATGTAAGAGAAAACAAATTTATAAATTTTCTAAAATTTTTAATTTTTCCAAGCCAATATTTATCTCAGAAAAATTTTAAAGAGGAGGATTATAGTCCCTTTATTAGGCTCATTATGAACCTTATAAAAAAGGATGAATACGAGATTTTATATGAAAACCCATCTATGGGAGCTGTCATGAATTGGATGTGGTATTCTTCTAAATTATATTGGCCTAGAGCCCTGTATTTTTTTGCCTTGTATTTTTTGACCTATTCAATTATCTCTTGGGCATACATTTCTCATGTTCAAATATCTGGTGCGCTTCAACATATTATGATGGTTACGACCATTGTATTATTCTATTATTTGTCATATTATCATATCGTGGTTGAATTTAACCAATTCAATCGCAAAAGAGAAAATTATTTTATAGATCCATTTAATATAGTAGATCTTCTATCAATTATCGTATCGA